TACTCTACCCCCTTTGCTACATATACTCTACCCCCTTTGCTACATGGACTCTACCCACTTTGCTACATGTATTCTACCCCCTTTGCTACATGTACTCTACCCCTTTGCTTCATGGACTCTACCCCCTTTGCTACATGGACTCTACCCCCTTTTGCTACATATACTATACCCCTTTGCTACATATACTCTACCCCCTTTGCTACATATACTCTACCCCCTTTGCTACATGGACTCTACCCCCTTTGCTACATGGATTCTACCCCCTTTGCTACATATACTCTACCCCTTTGCTACATATACTCTACCACTTTTGCTACATATACTCTACCCCCTTTGCTACATATACTCTACCCCCTTTGCTACATGTACTCTACCCCTTTGCTACATGGACTCTACCCCCTTTGCTACATGGACTCTACCCCCTTTTGCTACATATACTCTACCCCTTTGCTACATGTACTCTACCCCATTTGCTACATATACTCTACCCCCTTTGCTACATATACTCTACCCCCTTTTGCTACATGTACTCTACCCCCTTTTGCTACATGTACTCTACCCTCTTTGCTACATGGACTCTACCCCCTTTGTTTGATTTAGTTAACTTTGCTGACATTCATGTTTAACAAGGTATGTAATATAATTTGTGCTGGTTCAGGTCTGATGGACACAATGAAGAATGCTGACCAGTCAAACTGGTCACTCAATCCAGAGCAGTTTCAGGACCTTGCTTCTTCCTTAAATAACTTTTTCAACCAATCCACCACCAACCTGCCACACACTCCATCCAGTAATCCATTGACAGGTATTTATATAGTTGTTGTCCATTTACATAGTTTTATTATATATTTTTTTTAATTAGAAACATTTTGGAAATATTGCCTTTTATACAGCTGTATTTCTCTTGAAAATTTGAAACACACTTAGTAGGTGCAGGCATGAAATGTTCATCCGTTTTGTTGCATTGAAAAACTGGAAAAAAAAGCCTTTTTGGAAATATCTATTCCACGATACTTCTGGCCATATTGTGTGTACTTGATGTTAATGCATAATCTGCTGACCTGACATTAACAAACTGTATTTATTTGCTTCAGTCAATGTAAAACAGGACTACAGCTCCGACACCAACTCAACCATCACATCATTGAACAATAGTAGTGGATCTCACCTCACCGTTCCCATCACATCAACGTCCGCATCCCCACAGATCAGCCCTCGCTCTACGGTATGTTTACAGTAGGTTCCCTCCCCTCCCATTACATCAGTGTCCTAATCCCCACAGATCAGCCCTCGCTCTACGTTATGTTTACAGTAGGTTGCCTCCCATCCCATCACATCAATGTCATCACCCCCACAGATCAGCCCTCGCTCTACGTTATGTTTACAGTAGGTTTCCTCCCCTCCCATTACATCAATGTCCTCATTGAACAATAGTAGTGGATCTCACCTCACCGTTCCCATAACATCAACGTCCGCATCCCCACCGATCAGCCCTCGCTCTACGGGATGTTTACAGTAGGTTACCTACCCTCCCATCACATCAGTGGCATCATCCCCACAGATAAGACCACACTCTACGGTATATTTACAGTAGGTTACCTCCCTTTATTTGCTTCAGTCAATGTAAAACAGGACTACAGCTCCGACACCAACTCAACCATCACATCATTGAACAATAGTAGTGGATCTCCCCTCCCCGTTCCCATCACAGCAACGTCCGCATCCCCACCGATCAGCCCTCGCTCTACGGCATGTTTACAGTAGGTTTCCTCCCCTCCCATCACATCAGTGGCATCATCCCCACAGATAAGACCACACTCTACGGTATATTTACAGTAGGTTACCTCACCTCCCATTACATCAGTGTCCTAATCCCCACAGATCAGCCCACGCTCTACGGTATTTTTACAGTAGGTTACCTACCCTCCCATCACATCAGTGGCATCATCCCCACAGATAAGACCACACTCTACGGTATATTTACAGTAGGTTACCTCCCTTTATTTGCTTCAGTCAATTTAAAACAGGACTACAGCTCCGACACCAACTCAACCATCACATCATTGCACAATAGTAGTGGATCTCACCTCACCGTTCCCCTCACATCAACGTCCGCAACCCCACAGATCAGCCCTCGCGCTACGGTATGTTTACAGAAGGTTACCTCCCCTCCCATTACATCAATATCCTCATCCCCACAGATCAGTCCTCACTCTACTGTATGTTTACAGTAGGTTACCTCCCCTCCCATTACATCAGTGTCCTCATCCCCACAGATATCATTGAACAATAGTAGTGGATCTCACCTCACCATTCCCATCACATCAACGTCAGCATCCCCACAGATCAGACCACACTCTACGGTATATTTACAGTAGGTTACCTCACCTCCCATTACATCAGTGTCACCATCCCCACAGATCAGACCACACTCTAAGGTATGTTTACAGTAGGTTACCTCCCCTCCCATCAAATCAATGTCCTCATCCCCACAGATCAGCCCTTAATCAACGGTATGTTTACAGTAGGTTACCTCCCCTCCCATTACATCAATGTCATCATCCCCACAGATCAGACCACACTCTACGGTATGTTTACAGTAGGTTACCTCCCCTCCCATCACATCAATGTCATCATCCCCACAGATCAG